AAAAAAAATATTCACCACTTGACCAATAGGAAAGATAATAGAGGAAGACAAGATTGAAGTTATCAGTGATTTAATTTCTCTCAGATTCCTAATCAACACCTATAGTTGCAGCAGTCAAGAAATCAAAAAGACATGTTCCATTGGATAAACCTGCTGTCAAGGATCTCTCCAAACTGCTAAAAAAGCAAGAATACCAATTTCAAGGCTTATGTTGTGTCTGTTACAAGACATAGTATTTTCACTTGCTTCTTAAGCATATAAAAGTTGGACAATGAATAAGGATGACAGAAGAATAAATAGCTGCCTTTGAATTGTGATGTTGGAGAAGAGTATACTAAATATACCATGGACTGCCAAAAGAACAAAAATAATGTCTTGAAGGACGTACAACCAGGGTGCTCCTTCAGAGATGGTGAAACTTCATCTCACGTACTTTGGGCATATTGTCAGGAAGGGACAGTCCTTATAACAGTGGGCTCGAGCATGGCGGTGGAGATTGTGAGGATGGTACAGGATAGAACATAGTTTGCTCTGTTGTTCATAGGAAGTTGTTGCTGATTTGATGGCGCCCAAAAATATGCAAGGCATTCAGCACAGCACCTGACTCATTGTAGGTGTTCAGGAGGCCTGTGGAAGCTGGTCCAGCATTGTCCCACAAAGAACTAAGGGGTTCTGGCACTAAAAAAGGTCTTAGAGATTGCCTAATGGTCATAACCACACTTTTTTTGAGGGAGAAAGAGTTCCAAAAAGGGAAATGATTTAGTTGTGTTTACTCTGCAGATCTGAGCCTCCTCGGCTAAGCCAAGTCCTGGCCCCTGGTGAACCCCATACAGTTTTCCAGTGACAGCTGGTGCAGTCTCACCAGCCTCAAACAACCCAAGAATCTCTTATGGCATTTGACCTCTATTGTTGATCTTTCCAGACTATGTGAATATTTCTGGTTTCCAAGGAATGTAAATCAGGCTCACAGAAGTTAGGCTGTCCCTGAGATGGGGCTGTTCCTTTAGAACAAACATTGGGCTTCCTATATAAGGAGTGCACTGTGATCAGGTATCTTTGTCAGGAGCCCCAGGTAAGTTCTGACTCTTTTGTTTTTTTTGCAGATTTAATGTACTGTATGACTTGTGGCTACTCATATTATATTCGTCTGAACCTCAAGAAGTCCACCTAAACGAAAAGGTATTTGGGTAGCCAACAACCTCAACCCCACTCACACCATACCCTCTGCCCCATCCCCACCCAACTGGCTGGTTTTGTTTCAAATGGCACAAGCTCAGGACCTGGGCACCAGCATTGAGGTGACCTCATCAATTCTCAGTTTGAAACATTCTGCCTCCAACAGGCTTGGGAAAGGCAAAGTTCTTGTCCTTCACATCCCTCATACCTTGGGGAGGTAATGAGTGAGGCTCTCTCTCAAAGTGGGAAGGGTTTTCATGGCTCGAGGTTGTAGTCCCCCCTCTCCATCTGAATGGGTCTGGGCCCATGGTGTGGTGGAGACTGCAAGAGTCCCTCTCTCCCCAGGCCCATCAGTCTCCACCCTCTGAGACCATGCTCTCCCAGGGAACCATCTGCAGCCTGCTGCTCCTCAGCACGCTCTGCCTGGACCTGGCAGCGGCAGGCTCCAGCTTCCTGAGCCCAGAGCACCAGAAAGTCCAGGTGAGGAGCTCTCCTGCCATCCTCCCAGGTTCGCCCACGCCCACCTCCATCCCCGCCTGCCTTTCCACATAAAACAGTTGCTCAGATGCCTCATTTCCAGCCCTGCTGCTTGGCCACATGTTGCATAAAATGAGGTGGTGTTCAGCTTCTCTGGCCTTCAGCTGGGTTTGATTTGAGGCCCACCACTCCACTGCCAGGCCCTAATGACATCTCTTCTTCACAGCAGAGAAAGGAGTCCAAGAAGCCACCTGCCAAACTTGAGCCCCGAGGGTTAGAAGATGGCAGTCAGGCAGGAGGGGCAGAGGACGAGCTGGAAATCCAGGTTGGTACCTCTGAGGCTTTGTGCTTCTGTGGTGGGGCAGATGTCAAGTGGAGGGCCAGGACTGCCAAGTGTGACTAAACAGGGATCCATTTAAATGCTACTAAGAACCTAAATGTGTAACGATAACCTTGCCACCACCTGAGAGGAATTGACTAGAAATGTTACATCACTATGCATAAAGATCCTCACAGAGTGAGGCTGGCAGACCCAGGGCAGGAAGCAAATTAGTTCCCGGGGGGGGGGGGGACGACGGACATGGACCTGCAGGAGTTAACAGCCACTCAGTGTTCCTGCCCACTTAAAAGCTCAGTGACTAAGGCCTCCATTCCCCAGGACAGGGGCTTGAGATGGGGCCCTGGCAGGTAGGCTAGCTGCCAACCCCCAGCTAGTGGAGACTAACTCATCCAAGACAGGCTCCACCAGAAGACGGAGATGAGAGTGAAGTTGACCTTTCGAGGGTTTTGGCTGACAAATTTTATGTGGAGCAAGGGAAGGGTCTTTTACTTCATTTGTTTGAACATTTACAGAGCAAGATGGATTTCCTTTTAACAGTTCATATACATTGTTAAACGATTACAACCCATGCTTTGAAGCCATTTTCTTCCCACTTGCTTCCACTCCTGTTAGGCTGCCTCGCTCTTTAGATCTTGTGTGATTGTTCCGAGGGTGTTACTGACACCTTAGAGATCTACGGTTTGGCTGGAAAACAGGTAACAGAGGAATTTCAATTCCAGGCTTGGAGGGTGACTAAAGGACACAGCCTCAGGGACTTTACTAGTTTCTAAGAGCTGAGTAAGCCTGGGTTTGATTTTTCGTTTGGATCCACATTCTTCTTCTACTCTACCCAGGACCTTCGACTGTGCTCCCTTTCAGAGCAGTCAGTAGTGGCAGCTGGGCACCATCTACTTCTTCCATCTAGTTCTTCTCTCAGGGTGTGGGGACTGAAGTTCCTGTGTCCCATTCATCCTTTTGAATAGTAGCCTTTGATTTGCTTCACTCTTTTTCGCTGTGGGTGGTAAGAGATCAGTAGTTTCACCTTAAGTTGCTCAGAAGTTTAGACCCCAGCTTTCACTCAGCAAAGCAGGCTGTAGACTGTGAGGCATTGACCCTGACGTCTCTCATGACTGGTCCTGAGCTCTCAGGCCAGTGACTCATTCCCTCAAGATGTCTGGTTATGGCTAAGTTATCATTTTGTCCTGTTTGCTCTACTATATACTTAGACCCATTTTCAGCAGCTACAGCGAGACGTGTAAAAATATACCTGCAAAAACCACACAACCCAGGTGTGGCCTTCTTCACCTGTGCACATTGTTTCATCTTGCCTGTCAGTCTGTGTCCACTCATAGATTAACATCTGTTATTGATAATGCAGGATTGTGGATGTTAAGTGTTCACCTTTGCTGTCTTTAACTCTTATTATAACCTGTCTTCCTTTTCCTTAGTGGTATTGTGCTAATCATCCCTATTTCCTATAATACCTTTGCCTTCATCCAACTATGTGTTAAAGAGATGGCTCAAAGATTGGGAGATGAGGGAGTAAAGGGATTTTAAGGACTATGTAACCCTGAAAGCTTGGTTTTGGATCTGGAGATGCTGGGAGTTTTTGATGTTAGGTAGCAGCCAGGAAACCAAAATTCCCCTGGCATAGTGATTTTATTTACAATTGTTTCATCCATATTATTTATTAGGTATCATTTAATATTTACAGTAGTGTGAGGCAAGTTAAGATTGCTATTATTTTCCCCATTCATAGACTAACGGGACCTCAGAGGGGACCCACTAATCTGAGGCACAACAGCCAGTAAGCAGCAAGCGGAGAGACTCAAAAGAGGACTCCAGCCCTAAGTCCTCTCCAGCCCCACTGGCCTGGTGACCAGGGATTGGACAATGGCCTAGGAAAAGGATAGAGCATGTCCCACCTCAGCCCCTTTCCGGCAGGCATGTACACTCACCTCAAGGTCTCTGAGCCCCTGCTCTCTCTGATCTTCAGACTCCTCCTCCACCCAGAGCTCCCAGCCCACTAAGGAACATTTGAACAGCCAAAAACTACCTAAGCTAAACCCCTGAACTTTCCCAAGGGAAGTGCCAGCTTCTACAACTTATCCCACTTAAATGGCTGGAAGTTAGCCCCGGGAGAGGGCTAGACTCATTGAAGTTCCTAGAAAATAGTCTTAGGACAGAGGTGTGAACGCATCAGAGCTCTGCTGGGCTCCAAAGCCCCGCCTAGGCTAGGGGTCAGCCCTCTCATTCTCTCTCCTACTCTACCTGCAAAGGTTTTCCCAAAACCAAGTTTCAATTTTCTAGGCCAACCTCCTCTTCCCACCCCCCACCTCATACACAGAGAACACCTGGGGTTTCTCAAGGGATTTCTCAAGTCACACACAGCAAACTTTCTAACCATAGTCCCACCCCAAGTGCACAGCTCCATGGTGCTCAACCAGCCCCATGTCCCAGACTGGAGCTTATGGTGGTTCCAAAGAAATCTGTTCAGGTGACCTAACCACTGACCACAGAAGAAAAAACTCACTGAAATAGAACAGAAGGGACTAAATCCCTTAGAAATGAATCATATCTTTCCGTATCCACTTTGTCCTCAAAGACGTATGTGGAAGAAGAGCAGTTGTCAACCCCACATGTGCTGATGTAGAATAGTGCTCTGCAGTGTGCAACCGCAGGCCTTTTTCTAAGGCAACTCTGCATGAACCTCAAACCTCCAACCTTCCCATTAGGAGCACTATCTAGGAAGCAGGCTGAGCTCCACTTTAGGCTTTAACTGCAAGATAGAAGAGAGTTGAGAGTTGGGTACTCTGCATCTGACATTCTCATCCTTGGCCATGAGCTTCTTCTGTGGTCTTGGGCAAGACAATTCCCAGTACTGATGAGTTGGAACCAACCCACAACTGACCTTCCAGTGAGTTTTCAGAGGATGTAAATTGCACAGATGGCTTTTGCTGCTTTGTTTGCAAATAAGATCATTACCCAGGCTAATGCACTGTACTCCAGGCTGACCCAATGCTTTCTAAAAATCTCACTGCCAGCACCAAAACTTCCACCACTGGCAAATCTCTTTTCGCTTCTGGAGTTCAAAGGGCAGGAGGAGGGGTTTGATCTAAGGAAATACTACAGATGGAGAGGGGAGAGCCAGGGCGGAAAGGGAGGCTCTCTGAAGGCACTGCCAGAGATCAGGCACCATGCCCCTCTCTCTAGCTCCATGAGTGGGAACTGGAGGAAGAGTCCAGAGCCTCATTTGGGATAAAGTGTTGAGAAAGAGCCAGGGGGTCTATAAATTGATCTCTATCTCCCTGCTCCATCTTCTAGTTTAATGTCCCCTTTGATGTCAGAATCAAGCTGTCAGGGGCTCAATACCAGCAACACGGGCATGCTCTAGGAAAGTTCCTGCAGGACATCCTTTGGGAAGATGTCAAAGGTAAGCCCTCACCCATCAGAAGTTCCTGTACACTACAAGATGAGTCCCTTCATGGTTATACAGTGGAGCCCTACTTCTCTACTCTCCTTGAGACTTTTTAATTTCCCAGTAAATGCAGGTGGCTGGACAGGCATGTGTGAGTCACTCAGGACGGGCTGAGCACAAAGTCTCTGCACTCAAAAACCACTGTGACCCAAGATTATCAGCCAATTTGGGGATGTCACTTGAACTTCAGTTTCCTGACTGTAAAATGTTGCAAAGAGTCACTGTGAGAATCTGTTATCTGTATGAAAAGTACTTTTACTAAGTAACTTTATTTCAAACAAGAACAGTCACTGCCAACCACATTCAGAATCAGGTGAACCCCAGCCTAGCAAAATGCTATTCTTGTGTTTTTAATCCCTTGTCTTGTGAAGAAACCATTCAACTTTTCCCTAATTCATGAGACAGAAATACCTAATTTCAGAAGTCCTTCCTCGCCAGCATGGCCTGTGCCCACTCTCCAGGACACTGGCCAGACCAAGGAGAGACAGGGAGACCCATGCCCGGCGATGAGGCACAGCCACAATCCAGTCACCAATCTGGGAGCCATCCAAGAGCAGGGCCATGTCTCCACCCCCCACCACTGCCACTGCCCAAGTTGTCACCTGGGAGCACTGACAGTAAATGTGGAGTTCTGACTTGACTCTTTCTTTTCAGATAACCCGACTAACAAGTGACAGTGTACACAACCAGCTCTGCCTCTGCTTCCCTCCCAACCTTAGCACTCTTGTCCTCCTCAGGATGAATAAAATTCAAACTGTATGCTCAAAATTCAAAATGGGGATTTATTTTACAACAGAGGGAAATAAATATCACATTTTATAGAAAATGAAAAAAAAAAAAAGTTTTTATTTTTGGATAAATAGGAAGAGAAAACCAAAGTAAACTGATCAGCAGATAAACTACTGAGGAAACCTATGACCAAAGGAAGGGAAAAGGAAAGCAAAAAGAATGGCAAAAGAGGGAAGAAAGAAGGAAGGCAAAGATGACCCAGTTCCTTTAAAAATAGCAGTGTTTCTCAAGTGCAGCAAAGGTGCCCTCAGAGCTCATTTCATGTCCCAGATGGCATCAGTGAGGGAGAGGACTTAGCCCAGGATGATCAGAATGGCAAGGGAGAAACCTGTAGTCACATACCAGTCAGTGTTGATCAAGCCCGAAATTTATTACTCCTTGCTCATTGCAAGGTCTACGGAGCAGATGCTATCCTAGGTGGGTGAGGCTAACAATTGCCTTCGCTTCTTCAGAGGTACCAGGTTCCTAAACATCTCCCCCACTCCAGTTCACAGAAGAGACCTTAAACCTTTAGACCTCTGACCTTAAAGCTGCACAACTCTAGTTAGACAACAAAAGTCTCAAGGGGAGTGTCACATGCCACAGTGTCTCTGAAGTAAGGTCTTATGTACCCCAGGGATAAGCAAAATCTTTCTTTACTGGGTTTAATAATGTGTGTGTGTGTGTGTGTGTGTGTGTGTGTGTGTGTGTGTGTGCGTAAGCGTGCACACGCTCAGAATTCTCCTATGATGGTACCTTACTGAGTCTGAAACCACTTTTAAACACTGACACAGGAAATATAACCATGGTCACAGGTGGGTCTCGGCCTAGATCATAAGTTTAGTCTCATCTTTATAGCTTACTTATTCAATCACTGTGTCTTCTGATGGTTGTTTGGTCTGACTTTATAAAAACAAGTAATAAAAAATTAAAGTAATAACAAGAAAATAATCAGCATAAGCCCAAAATAAAGATGAAAACACAAAAAGAACACAAAATATTTAGCCACCAACAGACTATGGTAGTCAATGATGTGTATAATAGAGTGCCAACACAGGCTTCTCACTTGTTTTGTATTCTTAGAACAGAGCCTTCCTTTAAAAGCAGGTCAACTTTTTAGCTTGTGCACTTTTTTCAAGAGTAACTTTGTAGGGGAGCTCTGGTGGCCTAGTGCAAGGAGCTGCAACTACAATCCCAGAGGCACACGGTTCGAATCCACCAGATGCTCTGCCGGGGAAGGAGGGGCAATCTCCTCCTGTACCAGTCAGATCTGATTTGACGGTACATGCACACAAAATAAGAAAATAAAATAAATATTAAAAAAAAAGAGTAACTTTGTATAAAATTGAGAATGGACTACAACCAGTGAGATAAACTTCCTTACAGGGTTTACCCAGGAGAGTTCACAGTATTGATTAATTCATCAGCATCATACACACACACACACACACACACACACACACACACACAGCAATTTTACTTCCTTGTACTCCACTGCCCTGGATAAGGAAAGATGTCTACAAATTTTACAAAGGCAGAGGAACTACCACAACAAGATAAATAACCCAACTGAAAAATGGGCACAGGATATGAACAGACTCTTCACCAAAGAAGACATTCAGATGGCCAACAAGCACATGAAGAAATGTTCAAAATCCCTAGCCCTGAGAGAGATGCAAATCAAAACAACTATGAGATATTATCTCACCCCAGTAAG